ACATAATGACATTACTTAACTTTTGTACCTATAATATAAAAGGAATAACCCAATTAAAAGAAAAAAAAAGATGAATCAGTTAAAAAATGCAATGCAGTGTAGTTTTGCTTTAAGAAACACACCTTACAAAAATTTAATCCCTAAAATTAAAAAGAGAATGGGTTGATCAGGTTTACAGCAGCTCATATGGGAAACACAAAGAGAGAGGGGTGGCTATACTTTTTAATAGATCTGTGCATTTTCATTGTGAAAAGTTTTATCAGGAAAATGAGGGTCGTTATACAATGGTCAAAGGGAGAACTGCAGGACTTAAAATAACAATTCTGAATGTTTATGCACCAAATGAAGATTGCCCACACTTTTTCAAAAAGATTGCCCATTTGGTTGCAGACAATCTGGAAGGTATATTTTTGATGGGTGGAGACCTGAACTGTGTACTGAATAACATTAGATAAATTACCCTCATCTTTTAAACCCCAAACTAGAATGTCTAAAGGTCTGTCAAATATGATAAAAGAATTGGGACTAACAGATGCATGGCGCCACCTTCATCCCAGTGAGAGAGATTACACCTTTTGGTCACAAGTGCATGGAAGTTACTCACGGTTAGAGCACTTCTTAATTAAAAAAAAAAAAGATGTATACAGAGTTAAAAATGTATGATAGAACAAATGACCATCTCAGACCATAGCCCAGTTATATTGGCACTCAATTTGGGAATGGAGCCATGTATGAAGTACTGGAGAATTAATGTTTCATTGCTTTCAGATATCGACACGAGAGAAAAAATAAGGTCAGAGAGAGATACTGGAATACTTTGCTTTAAATGACAGTGGAATGGTTTTGCCTTCTCTCTTGTGGGATACAGGAAAAGCTACAATAAGAGGAAAAATAATATCTATAGGATCAAAAATGAATTAGAAAACAAAATCAAAAGATTAGAAAATGAACATAAACAAAATGGAAAACCAGAAATACTTGACAAGCTTAAAGACAATAGAACAAAATTAGATGAATTACTAACTTACAAAGCTGAGGGTGCCCTTAGGTTCATTGAAAGGAAATACTATGAATTAGGAAATAAAGTCAATAGATTATTATCATTTCAATTACAGAAAGCACAAGCAAGTCGTAGAGTTCCAAAAATTAAACAACTTCACTCTAATAATGTCGAAACTAATCTTAAAGCAATCTCGGATATGTTTGCTACATACTATGAACAATTATACAAAGGTCAAGCTCAGGAATCAAAAGAAAAAATAAGACAGTTTTTTGAAAAACTAAAATTAGAAAGACTGGCAGTCGGGGAAGCAAATATGTTAGTAAATCCAATCACAGAAATAGACGTGAGACACAATAGGTCAGTTAAAAAACAATAAGTCACCAGGAACAGATGGGTTTGCAGGAGAGTATTATAAAGTATTCGTTAATGAATTATCTCCCATATTATTTAAATTGTATAATTATCTGCTAAATTCAGGAACCCCTACAGTCATGGACAGACGCTATCATCAGTCCCACTACTTTACTCTAGCTATCGCCCCATAAGCCTCTTGTGTGTGGACTATAAAGTATTAACAKCCATCTTGGCAATGAGAATTCAAAAATATATTAGGAAATTAATAAAACCAGACAGGGTTTATCTCAGGTCGTCAAGGGACAAATAACATAAGGAGAGTGCTAAACCTGCAGTCACTCATGGCAAAAGATAAACATCAACGCTTMTCAGCTTAGATGCACAGAAAGCATTTGACCGAGTAGACTGGCAATTTCTCGAACAAACATTAATTGAGATGGGTTTTGGTAAAAAAATTCACGGGCTGGTTTCAGCAGTTATACAAGCCCAAGTCCAAAATTAGGGTTAATGGACACTGTTCAGGGTTTTTTTGACAGAGAGAGAAGTGAGACAGGGAGATTCTCTCTCGCCCATCCTCTTTGCACTCAGCAATGAACCTCTGGCAGAGGCCATATGGCAAGATGTTCAAATTGAAGGGGTTGAGGACGGTGGGTGGGGGGGGGGGGGTCCACAAAACTTCCCCTTTTGCAGATGATATCCTTTTCATAAAACATCCTCTTACTTCAATACCTCGACTCATGCAATGTCTAAAAAGCTATGGAGACATCTCTGGATATAAATCAATATGTCAGGATATAGTGTTGTTCCATTGGTCATGGATTTAGATACTTGGGAATTACTATAACACCTAAAACTACTAAAATTTTTGATGCAAACTATAATAAATAAATTGAACAAACGAGGAGTGATCTGGCTCGCTGGGAGGTCCTTCCTTTATCWCTCTTAGGTAAAGTTGAAACAATAAGAATGAATTTGCTCCCTCATCTTCTGTTTTTATTCCAATCACTACCTATTAAAGTTCCGGTCTCCTTTTTTTACCACATTAAATAATGTCTCAATTTATATGAATAAAAAGACCCAGAATTAATAAAAACACTTAAATTAGAAAAAATAAGCGGAAGCCTGGCCTTACCAGACTTCAGATTTTATTACTGGGCACCGCAATTAACAGCAATTGTGAAATGGACAGTGGAGATGAGGCAAGATGGACCCGAATAGAACAAGGTGAGGTTAAGGGTGTAAAGTTATCAGTATCCCTTTATGGACCCAACTTATTTTAACAAATTGAAGACTGGAAATGAATGGATAAAACATGCCATGAAGGTCTGGACAGAAGTTTAAAAAAGCGCTTAAGGACACTGGCTCGATTTCTCGCCCTATGCCTATAGTGGGCAAAACAGACTTCCCTCCTTCAATGTGGGATGATGGTTTTAAGAGATGGGCAACTAAAGGTCTCATAAATCTTAATCAGTGATTTGAAGAAACACATTTAAAGTCTTTCACACAACTTCAGGAACAATTCGACCTCCCCTCAAATAATTTTTATAAATATTTACAAATTAGGCACTACACTCACCGGCCACTTTATTAGGTACACCTGTCCAACTGCTCGTTAACACTTAATTTCTAATCAGCCAATCACATGGTGGCAACTCAGTGCATTTAGGCATGTAGACATGGTCAAGACAATCTCCTGCAGTTCAAACCGAGCATCAGTATGGGGAAGAAAGGTGATTTGAGTGCCTTTGAACGTGGCATGGTTGTTGGTGCCAGAAGGGCTGGTCTGAGTATTTCAGAAACTGCTGATCTACTGGGATTTTCACGCACAATCTCTGTGACTCAAATAACCACCCGTTACAACCRAGGTAGGCAGAAGAGCATCTCTGAACGCACAGTACGTCAAACTTTGAGGCAGATGGGCTTCAGCAGCAGAAGACCACACCGRGTGCCACTCCTTTCAGCTAAGAACTGGAAACTGAGGCTACAATTCGCACAAGCTCATCGAAATTGGACAAGAGAAGATTGGAAAAACGTTGCCTGGTCTGGAGTCTCGATTTCTGCTGCGACATTCGGATGGTAGGGTCAGAATTTGGCGTCAACAACATGAAAGCATGGATCCATCCTGCCTTGTATCAACGGTTCAGGCTGGTGGTGGTGGTGTCATGGTGTGGGGAATCTTTTCTTGGCACTCTTTGGGCCCATTGGTACCAATTGAGCATCGTTGCAACGCCACAGCCTACCTGAGTATTGTTGCTGACCATGTCCATCCCTTTATGACCACAATGTACCCAACATCTGATGGCTACTTTCAGCAGGATAATGCGCCATGTCATAAAGCTGGAATCATCTCAGACTGGTTTCTTGAACATGACAATGAGTTCACTGTACTCAAATGGCCTCCACAGTCACCAGATCTCAATCCAATAGAGCATCTTTGGGATGTGGTGGAACGGGAGATTCGCATCATGGATGTGCAGCCGACAAATCTGCGGCAACTGTGTGATGCCATCATGTYAATATGGACCAAAATCTCTGAGGAATGCTTCCAGCACCTTGTTGAATCTATGCCACGAAGAATTGAGGCAGTTCTGAAGGCAAAAGGGGGTCCAACCCGTTACTAGCATGGTGTACCTAATAAAGTGGCCGGTGAGTGTATATCACAAATCATAAAGTGAGAGAATAGGTAAGGTTCCAAACGGTATAGAACAGTACTTTATCACAATTTTAGAGAAACAACTTCCAATGCAAAGTCGTTTCTTATCTTTAGAAAAGACTTTTAACAGATATAATTACAAACACCAACAATGCAAAAGAAAAGTGGGAACTAGAATCTAATGCAATTATAGAAGACAAATTGTGGACTAAAATCTGCAGTAGCTGTCACAAAGKAATTAATAGTCAGCAATGGAAAGAATTTGACTGGAAACTTAAAACTAGATATTTTTATACCMCTCTGACTATTTCAAAATTTATAAAAGATCCCTCAGCAGCCTTATGCTGGAGACAATGTGGCAGAATAGGGGACCACATATCTTATGGGACTGTCCAATCATTTCTCAGTCTTGGAAAAGTATTAAGGAAGAGATTGAGAAAATTGTTTAAACGGATATTCCTTCAAATGCTTTGTTTCATCTGCTTGAAGTTTTACCAGTTGACATTTTCAACACAGACCAAAAAGATACATTATACGCATTTTGTTGTTAATAGCTAAGAAAATGATCTGTGAAATAGAAGAATGTGATGCCAACAAATGTAATGGAATGGAAGCAGACTACAAAAAATGACTACATCTTTACAAATGAAAATGGATCGGAGATGGAACACAGTTAAAATATACCTTGAATTATAAAGTAAAGAGAATCTTTGGAAATGAAGCCCCCAAGAAAAAGGAATTTTACCTCACTTTCATATTTTATATAACTGCCTTGTATTTTCTTTTAATTTAATAGTGCTCCCAAAATTATTCTTTTAAATCTAACCACTTGTCTCTTGTAATTTTATATTCTGAAAAATTTAAATAAAAAGTTCTAAAAAAAAACAACAACTTTAGATTAGATTAATTTATTAATTGGTAACTTGCATCCCTAATACCAATGCATAAAAGTTTAACTTGCAGCAAAGAAATCAAAGAACACAGGGAAAATCTGGAGCATCAACAAAACAAGCCACTTTATTAACTTGTGCGAAGTAGCTACTACAGTGGAAMTCTAGGCAGACTGATGACAAAGTTCTGTGATCCCTCGCAGAATGATCGGGTCTACTGACTGAACTGAAAGGACAGACCTACCGAGTGTTCACCTGGAATGAGAAAAAAAGGACAAATGAACACRGAGCGTGTTTCACTAAGGTTCAGCCAGAATCTGAATTTGTAGAACTATCACTATAAGCAATAGAGTTTTTCTCTTACCACATCATCAATTTTGAGGATGCTGCGGACCGTTTCTGTGGCCAGGGTCACAGCACTGATGGAAACCAGAAGAGGCTGAACCACCAGCTCCTCCAGGATGTTGGAGATTCCCCCCTATCATACAAACAATGAGTCTGGTACAACAGGTCTTCGCACACATCTGTCTGATACATTTCACAAACATTCTCCTGTTTAATCACACATGTATCATACATACAGCCAGGTCCATAAATACTGGAACAYAGACACAGTTCCCATCTTTTTGGCTGTATGCACCAACCTGATGGATTTAAAAAGAAACGGACAAGATGTGCTTTAACTGCAGACTTTGCGCTTCACTTTGAAGGTATTTGTATCCAAATCTGATGCATTACAACAGTTTGTAGATGTGCCTCACGCTGTTTAGAAGGACCAAAACTAGTGAGACAAAATAACAATCATAAAACAAACTTACACTTTTTTTTAAACTTGGTTGCAAATCCTTTGCAGTCAATTACAGCCTCAAGCCTGGAACGCATAGACATCACCAGACGCTGGGATCCCTGGTTACCGCTTGTTCTTTGGGTATTTCCCCTTCAGCTTGTCTTTAGCAAGTAAAATGCATGCTCAATTGGATTTAGGTCAGTTTTGAACATTGCATTTCTCTGCCTTAAAAACCTCTTTGGGCACTCTCACAGCATGCTCAGGATCATTTTCCATCTGCACTGTGAAGCGCTGTCCGATGAGTTCTAAAGCATTTGGCTAAATATAATCAGAGAATATTGCCCAAAACACTTCAGAATTCACCATACTGCTTTTGTAAACGTTTAATGGACTGTACTTGTATAGCGCCTTTCTATCCAAACAGGATACTCAAAGCGCTTCACACTACAATCTATGTCCTCATTTACTAGGGATGTGCAATATGTTATTGTGTGCGAAATTCAAAGAATTCAAAGAAATTCACCATGGTAATAATTTGTCATCTTGTGATAAAAATGATAAAATCACCCAGGCCGCCAGGCTTTACATGCATCCTCACCAGGTAAGCTTCCTTTGTTTACTCAGCAGAACATGTGCTAAAGTAGTAAAGCTAAAAACAATACATGCGAATCAGAAGTGTTTCCATCAATTGGCTTGAAGCGAATCAGTTATGTCAGACACATGCATGTAGTAAACAGGAAGTAAAAGTCACATCTCAGGAAAATGGAGAGAAGTTATCATGAACGTGTTGCTACCATCAGGAAAGTTGTAATTATTCTGTCATATCAACTAGTTCTGACGATGTTACATGCTGTCTGGAGACGTRGAGAAAGAAATGCAATTCTTGTTACGTTATGGGAGTAACTGCGAATACACCGACAGCGGGAGGGTCCTGCTGCAGTCGCTCTGGTGCCGGTACCAGTTTCGGACAGTGAGAACAGCTGATCAACATGAGGTAAATGTCTGCTACGTCAGAACTGATTCAGTAAATGTGCTTCCATCTGTCCTTTTGCTCATTAACTCTTTTTCGAAAAAAACAAAAACCACCTCAAGCGAGCGTATCAACTTTGATGTGAATTAGAGGAAGTTTTTTCGAATCAAGCCGTTTCTATTCACCTTTTCTGATGCGATACTTCAAAATGTGCATGAAAAAACGTTGATGGAAACACGGTTATTGTCATCTAAAAACTCTTTAGAGTTCAACAATAGACAAGAGGTCTGCATTTTTCAGTGTTTTATAATAATCTGGGCTTAGTACTGCATAAAACATGCTTTAGTAACTGTGCATTTGAAACAGTAGGGTTGGGCATAATCGTTTCGTGTGCAATTAATTGTCAGAAAAACATTAATCGATTACTTTTTGGCACTTGACAATTAATACGATTAATGCACCAGGCAGACTGACTGAAGATTTCTCCAGTCAGTCTGCTTGGTGCTCCCCTCTGCTTCAAATTTGATGAACATAAAAAAGTCCTGTAATTTATTTATCTATCAACATACTTTAGAATTTGATGTATATCCTGAAGTCTGTAATTTTGACAATTCGGAACAGATTTTTATGAAGAGCAAATCTTTCCCACTAAATTGGTCATGTGACCAGGACATAAGGGTGTCCAGGGACTCCAGGGGATTAATCGTCAAATTAATCGTTATCGGCTAAATACCACAATTAATTGTGATTATATTTTTTGCCAATATTGCCCAACCCTAATACAGAGATATAACTTTAGAAAAAAAAAGTCTAACCAAAAGGCTCACAACTCCCTACACACAAGCCACATCGATGATGTAAATACCTTCAAATTAAAGCTGAAAGTCTGAAGTTAAAGGACATCTTTTTTGTTTAATTCTGTAGTGGTGTTTACAGCCAAAAATATGAGAATTATGCAGGGGTAGACATAAGAATTTTTTTCAGGTTGAAAATCTGATTGTCCGCAAAACATTTTGGTTGTCCAAAAAAACAAACAAATCCCAATTAAAATGTAATTTAATAGGTAGGCTATATTGTTATGTATACAAAGTTTACTGTATACAAATGTTCTTAGCAGGTTAACAGTTTCAGGAGCTGCTTGAGTAAAACTCCTCCTCATCMTCTTCTTTGAAATAGAGATCAAAAATCAACATCCAACAACCATAAGCTTTCTGTTTACAGGACCAAAATTTTAATTTAAATAGTAGTATAGCCTACTGTCTACATGACCTTATTATAGCTACAGTTTAGTGTTCTTAGGACTGAAGACTTTCTGGATAAAGGGGCTTTAAACAGCTCTTCTGTCATTTTAGTGTTTTCAACTGAAGAGCTTTGATGTATTTATTTAAAAAAAGAATTATAGCACAAGAAGTTCTCTGCATAGAAAAAACTATTTATTTTTAATGTTTTTTTAACCAAACTGACAAGTTTTTCCACTATAATTGTTGTGTAATATAAAAGGCATTGAAACACCTGGTTAAATTTAGAAGATATTTAAGATTAACCACAAGCACCTGAAGCTGACTCAGAGAATTCTGTGATTTTAGAAGAAAATCAAAGTCAAACGCAGCACCCCCCCCCCCCGGGCGGATGTGGTCCGCTTACGCACCCCGCTCGCGTGTGATTAATACTGATTTTTTGCAAAATTTACTGATTTGTGATGCTCATTATACACGTAAATATCTGAAGGGGTTGGCATGTATGAATTCTGAAGTCCCGGGGCCGCGGTGCACGTGAAGAGGTGCTGCGGTCAAACTGCCTCTCAGCCGTCGCTTTAAAAACAGTCAGGTGATCTGTCGCGGTTTTGTTGTGCTCGTAAACACACGGTGTTACAGGAGAAATGCTGTGAGGTGCTTTTAAAAATATAATATATGTAAAATACGACGTAATCCTCGGTGGAAAATAGCTCAGGTGAACACCTCCCGGGAAAACCCTCAGTGTTTCCTGGACTGAAAGAAGCTGACCCCCCACCCACAGAGAAAGAAAAAAGGCAGCGGTGTCAGTCAGACAGCACGACCCGCCATGCTCTGTTCTGATTGGGTAAAACTTTGACTGTGGTTCTCTTGATTGGGTGAAAGAACCGTCAGTTTAATCCCTAGATGGCTTTAACAAGTTTTTTTTCCCCCATTCATTTTTACAATGATGAACACCCGCTGCTTTTTTCTTGGTTGCCCACCGTGCAACTGGGAGGCGGGATCTGGTTGTCCGAAACGAAAACAGGTTGTCTCGGACAACCTAAACAATGGTTATGCCTGATTATGTCATGTCCCTACAGTTATAGACCTGACTGTATGTGTGTGAAACATTTTAACAGAAATCACCGTATGTATCCAGAGAAAATGAAAATAGGTCAACCTTGCGAACGTTGATGCCGGCCATCTTGTCTCCCTGTGAGTGTCTGTTACGAAGCTCCGTCACAGTAGAGATGGGGTTCAGACCTGCATTCTCAGCAAGTGTAGAGGGGATCACCTCCAGGGCATCGGCGTACGCCCGCACACAGTAGGCCTCCATGCCCCCCAGGGTCCGAGAGTACTCTGACAGACGCACAGCCAGCTCGATCTCTGGAGCTCCACCTCCAGCTATCAGAGCCCTGTGGTACAAACGAGCATGGCACATTTGCATTTTTTATTCTTTTAATCTTACTAACGCATTAAAGGTTTGAAAAAATAAATAAAAAAATAGAAAGCAACATGTATATGGTGCTTGTTCATTCCTTCTACTGATCATTGTGTAATATTATTACAGCTATTTACACATGTGAGAATGCTCGCCAGCCAAGTTGCTGAAACAACCAGGAGCAAATAAATAGTGAGCTTTCTAAAGTGCTGTTCCTCTGTTCGTTACGCTCCTGCAGGAAAAAGCCAGGCAAGAGCGCCTTTGTCAGAGGGTGGTCAGAGGTCAGTTTGCACAGAAAAGCCACTGCTACTTCAGAGAAAACAGATGCTGCAGAGATGACTGACCTCTTCTTGACCAGGCATCGGATGACACACAATGCGTCGTGAATGGAGCGTTCTGCCTCCTCAATCACAAGCTTGTTGGAGCCTCGGACCACAATGCTCACAGTTTTTCCAGGGCTGCTGCAGCCTGTGATCTGCAACAAACATCAGATGTGTTATATTGTTCCAGCTCATTTTAATAACAACAATAATAAATTAGCTTTATATAGTGCTTTTCTAGACACTTACAGATGGTTTAATTTTTTCATGCATTCATTCATACACACATTCACACACTTATTAGTTGTAAGTTACACAAATAATGTTCATTAAGATTTGCCGCAGTGTGAGCTCCTAACATTCCAGGACTTCTGTACCTTCACCAGTTTACCCGAGCCATCCAGGCTGACCTCCTCTGCCAGCTCTGCTGTGCCAAGCATCTCTGCTGTGAAGTAGTCGATATGGGCGATGGGTTTGGTACCGATAGTCTAAAGGAGAACAAAGGCTTTGACTGATAACACATTTGAGAACTGCTCTGGTAATTCAAACCCTGTTTTGTCTTATCGCTCAAAAGTTTAAGATTATGTGCTGTTGAGAAATAAGACACATTAACTTGCAAAATCTCCTGCACAGAGTATTTGGAGGTATCCGCAGATTTTAGCAAGTCAAATTTAAGACTTTTTAATACCTTTTTAATACCACTTTGAATTAGGCTGGGCGGTATAGTAATATTTACAGGATTATAGCTCATGTAGTCATACTGATTGATGATTTGATAATTTGGCATCCTTCTACAACCCCTGGCAAAAATAATGGAACCACCGGCCTCAGAGGAAATTCACTCATTTGTTTAATTTTGTAGAAAAAAAAGCAGATCACAGGCATGACACAAAACTAATTTCAAATGGCAACTTTCTGGCTTTAAGAAACACTAAAAGAAAAATAAAAAAAATGTTGCCACATTTACAGCCAGTAACTGTAAATTTTTTAGACCAAGCAGAGGAAAAAAATTATGGAATCACCCTGTAAAATTTCATTCCTAAAACTTAACAGATGCATCGAGAAAAAAAAAAAAAAAAGCCCACACACAATTTGGGTACTGGTTAGGTTAGGGCTATCTATTTAAATAAACTGAATGTAACTGAATTGCCCACCCTTTAGCAGCAGGCGATAAAATAAGCGGACATCTTTAGGTTATGGTCATAATAATGCTCGACTAGTTTCATTCCAACTGAAAAAGTATCAGCATTGATCACCAGAAATAAACTAAAAGTTGGACACTGATTTAAAGTAAACAAGCTGAATGGATGAAATGAAGACACACACACCTTACAGATAAACTCAATGTCCTCCCTTTCAATGTCCTTCACCACCATGATCTTCATTTTGTTGAGGAAGTGTAGAGCGAGGTCGCTCAATGCATCTCTGCCAAAGAAGCAATCGTAGTTGTTGTTAAATATTGTCCCTGTTTGGTTAAAACTTGCACAAAAATGACCACCAGTTCTTCTTGGCTCTGCTACCTGAGAATTGACTTCTGAATGAGCAGAACGTTGCAGCCTGCTTTCTTGATGTGTTTCACCAAGTTTAGGATGTAGGCACGCTCCTCCCGCAGCACGCGGTCCATTTGGGCATAGTCTGACACCACAATCTGGTTGTCCATCTGCATACCAGAGAGAGGGAGGAAAAACTGTTGAGTACAAACCAGGGTTCATGCAGGTTTCAGTAAGATTAATTTAAGACCTTTTAAGACCATTAGAATGGCATTTAAGACCAAACCGATGCATTAACAGAAACATTCAAATGGTCCCAGAAATTTTAACATAGAAACCTTTTATTGCTATCAATTTAGCATTAAAGAATATTTAATTTATTTAAACTGATCAGATGCTCAAAACTGCCAGAACCAATCATTTAGCAAATCTCATCAAATCCAAAGGAAGAAATCCAAAAATCTTGTTTGACACAATCAAGAACATTGTTTCACCTTCTTTTCCTACCGTAAGTGCTTTTACAAATGCAGATTGCGATCGTTTTTTAAATTATTTTATAGACAAAGTTGCCAGCATCAGGGCCTGTATCTGTCCATCATCCCTCTGTCTGGTCCCTCCTCCTGTGACCAGCTGTTGTCTGTCCTCTGTTAAAAAAGCCTAATTTGGACTCTTCTCTRMCTGAAAGCTACAGACCGATCTCCAAACTACCATTTTTATCAAAAATACTTGAGAAGGTGGTAGCTGAACAATTGATTTGCTTTTTGGAGGACAATGACATTATGGACATTTTTCAGTCTGGATTTCACAAATTGCACTCCACAGAAACAGCTTTTTTAAAAGTTTCAAGTGACTTGTTGATGGCAGCTGACTCTGGAAACTACACTGTACTGGTTTTATTGGACTTAACTTCAGCGTTTGACACTGTGGATCACTSTKYTYWTMWMYASASASAGAGATAATKTTGGTRTTTCTGGCTCTGTGTTAAACTGGTTCACCTCTTATTTATCTGAACGGTCTTTTACTGTTTTTATGAATCAGGTTTACTCTGATGTTGCACCGCTGTCTTGTGGGGTACCCCAAGGTTCAGTTTTAGGTATAATCCTCTTTTTATTGTACCTACACCCTTTAGGAGGTATTTTAAAACGTTACAGTAATGTCTCCTACCATCTGTATGCTGACGACATACAGTTGTACTGTTCCTTTTGACCCTCTGAGTTCTTCAAACTATCTGAACTCAGTAACTGTCTGTCAGAAGTCAAAATATGGCTGAACAACAACTACCTGCGGTTAAATGCAAACAAGACTGAAACTCTTATTATCGCCCCTGATGATAAAATCCCTGTAATCAGGTAGCATCTTGCTTTTTTAACCCCTTCAGTGAAAAATAGTCGTAGAAACCTGGGTGTTGTCTTTGATGGTTCTGTCTTTTGACAGCCATTGTAAAATTTTAGTTCGTAACTATTTTTACCATTTAAGGAACATTTCAAAGCTGAGATCTTTTGTGTCACAGAAGGAACTAGAGATGGTTGTTCATGCTTTTATTTCTTCTCGTTTAGATTATTGTAACAGTCTTTTTACATGTYTAAACAAATCCTCCTTGACTCGGCTTCAGTCTGTGCAGAACGCTGCAGCGAGGTTATTAACAAAGACCCACAGGAGAGMCCACATTACACCTGGTTWAGCCTCTCTGCACTGGCTCATGTGACTTTGTGGAGTCATTTTAAAATTTTAGTTTTAACTTTCAGAGCACTTCATGGTCAGGCCCCCAAATACATACTGGACCTTCTGAAGCCTCTCTGTCCATCCAGGACTTTGAGGTCTTCTAATAAAATGCTGCTGGTGGTCCCTGGAACCCATTATAAAACCAGTGGAGACAAAGCTTTTCAGGTGGTGGCCCCAAGGCTCTGGAACGCTCTCCCTCTGTCCCTTCACTGCTCAGATTCTTCTGACTCTTAAGAAACATCTTAAGACATTTTTATTCCGACAGGCTTTTAGTTAATGTGCTTTTTATTGTGTTTCAATTGTTGTTTTTATATTTGTGATCTGTTTTATTGTTTTTAATTATTTTTGCTTTCTGTGAAGCACTTTGTGATGTTTGTCTGTGAAAGGTGCTATAGAAATAAAGTTTACTTACTTACTTAATTTTAATAAAAGAACACTAAATTATTTTAATCGTCATATCTATGAGACCTTCATATCGAATGCTGTGGACCACTTACAATTGAGTGCTAAAATCACAGATATCAAGCCAAGTCTCATTGAAAATACACTTTCCCATGTTTGAACGACAAGCAGAAGACATGACTAAACTTCTTTGTTTTTTTGGGGGTGATGAACAAGCCGCCATATGTGGGGGGTGTTAGTGGCAAAGAGGTTGAAAACATGGAAGTAAACTGCCATTTTTTGCCTGTAGTTATCACAAGATTTGTAGTTTAACTAAGTACAAAGACCGGTAGCTAACTTAGCACTACATGAAGACAGATCACATCAACTTCAGATTACGGCGCTTTACTCTTTATGCAGCCAAAGCTTCTCGGGAAAGATTGACAGTAAAAAAAAAAATTTAGACTTGACAAAATTAAATTTAAGTCCTTGGATGAAAATCTGAGCGTTTAAGAATTTTGTAGGTCTAAAATTTTGATTTTCAAATTTGCACAAACCCTGATACACATTCTTGGAGTTGGATAAATTTTCGCTTCAACATTTGCTCATTTAAGGATAGAAATCAATATGGTTTCATTATTGGAAACATGATCAATATTCTGAATATTATTTTCATGTACTTTAGAATTCACTGTGTAATGTATTGAGATTATCTGAAAATCACGTCATTTACTGCATCTATTTATTTTTTAAATGAATTGGGGGGGGACTTATCCATACTGTTCTATGTCAATGTCAGTTATGGGGGGGATTGTGCAATTTGTTAAATAAATATACTGGAGTACAGTCAAATTCATCTAAATGACAAGTTTAGGTTTTCCCAAGCACTTCACTTCTCATACAGAAAATACCTGCAGACCATTCTTTTAAGAAATGCTACCTCATGCTTGTTTTATTTAATTCAAATCAGGGAAGAAATGTTTGAGTCACAATTTGCTGCTTAAAGTGTAACTTACCCCCCCCCCCCGTGAAAAGAAAACTCCGCCCCAAGGCGAAATTTGAAAAATGCATCAAAGTGGGTAGGGGAGGGGGTGTGGGT